AATAAAACATTTTCTGTTACTTTAGCAACTTTCCTTTCTTCACACCATGTTTTCAGTTGGTTATATGCATTCATGTACAGTCTCTTTGATTTTTCTGGCAATAAATCACTACTTGTACTAGCTGCCACCACTCTAACTTCAGGCGGAGTACACATCATCTCTGAATCATCGTCACTTGAATTTTCACCCATTTTCCAATTAATTATATTGACGTTTTACCTATATAGATCTATTAACTTCTTCAAAATGACATCTAAATTTGAATTAAAACCGCATTTGGCAAACTGACAGCAATAATAATCATTGTACAGTGTTTGGTTGTCATAGAAACGTCGGCAAACGTTTTCATGGCCTAAGTAGATGTTGCGCGCTTATCGAAATCGCGTATTCAACATGGAAACTGTACCGTTTCAATTTGACATGCCACAATTCATAGCTGCCTTGGGTTATCATATAACCAAGGAAATTTTTTTCTCACTATAATGCAGAACTGAGAAATTCTAAGTTTTGAACATACAGAAACGATGAGAGAAGTGGAACATTGAAATATATCAAAAATGCAATGAGATATTTCCTAAATTCATATCAAAATTTGAAACATGCCAAATTTTTACATAAATAAAGCCAGTCTGATTATAAACACGCTCCACTCTACTTGATATTCTGATATATTCAACAAATTGTTAGAAAATTATTAATGCCAAAATTAAAATTGTTAATATATCAATGTTAATAGTGAAAAAAATTCTATATATACCTCGACTGAGAAAGCTATTATATACCTCGCACATTATATCCCTCAGCGCTACGCGCCTCTGTATATAAAAATGCTCTGTAAATAATAGCTCACTTCTCACCCTAGGTGTATAATATATTAACATGTGTGACAATGTGATAAAAATGTCCAAAAACGGTATGCTGAACATGAAAAATCCTTCAGACTAGGAAAAATGATTCGACGTTTTCCAAGCATTCCTTGGCATACAACCACAAGTTTCCGAATCTAAACGATACGGAAATTTTGCATTAGTTTTGCAAGGAAGGGTTGCAAATTCAATTATTTGGAATCCTCGGAAATTCACAAGCATTAACATTGCGGATGCAACCTGTTAAATGATCGAATCGATTTAGTTTACTCACCGGATTTCAAATTAGCATATCCACATTGTCACTAGTAAACAAAATTCAGGTCCGCAATCAAGCTAAGTACCTCTATTATTACCTACAGTCGTGCTATATAAAAGCTAATGTAAACAATCATTTTTAGTTTAATGTATACGTTTGAATGTGTCCTTATAGGATGAAACTACAGTAACGTTTATGAGTTTCTACTACGTAGTAAGAATGCCATCAATTTATTGATCATGTGTACTTGAAAAGCTAATGCTTTTCAGATAAAGCAATGTCAACCATTCAGAAAAGGTATTGTTGTCGTCCTTGGAAAGTTAGAAACATATCGTTTGTAATAAAAAGTGTCTGGTTCTACAGATTTGTTAAATGAGCAGATATTAAAAATGTTTGATTTTGTTTCCATTGGCATATTTCATAAAGCTCTAGTCATAAACATATATTTACCATGATTTGATTATACAAATCACTAAACAAATGTAATTAAAGGATTTACAGAAAAATTATAAAATTGTGAAATAAAAATAATACATTGTTGCCTTCATTTTTACAAATAACTTTCGAAAATGTCGGATTCGTGTTATTCTACCGTTATTATTCATATCAAGAAAAATACATGGGCTGTTCAAAAAATAAGGTAAATGTTCAAATTTCGCGGACTCCTTGTACTCGATTAGGGATTTTTAAATTTTTTATGTTGGTACTTTTGTCTAGAACATATGTTTACAGTTTCAACTGTTTAGCATGTTAAGTTTGTTGGTGAGAGGCATAAAAGTTAGAAATGTTTTGCGAGCTATTACAAAAAAAAATGAACCAGAGAATTTGCATAAAATTTTGTGTAAAAAATTGTATTAGGTGCTCAAAAATCCTTGAAATATTGACGATGATTATACTCTGAGTCAGAAAAATGTTTACAAGCGGTACAAGCTCTTCACAGAAGGTTAAGAAGATGTGAATGACGACGCTCGCCCTGGACGCTTCAGCACATCAACAACCTATGAAAATGTTGAGAAAGTAAAGAAAATTATTATGGAGAATCGTCGAATCACTATTACAGAAGTTGCTGAGGACGTCGGTATATAGGTTGGCTTATGCCATGCAATTTTTTCGTAAATTTTGGGCATGAAGCTTGCGGCAGAGAATGGGGAATGTTCCTCAATTTGGGTTATTACAGCAAATGCAAGTTTGAACAAAATAAAGTTGAGTTTGATTCATGAGTTTTTCAAATTCACTTCTGAAANTGATATATTTGTGTTTTGTATCATAATGGTGAATCCTGGAGCCACTATTACATTTATTTTTATTTTTATGTACAAACAATACTGCTTCTAGTATATACATGGAAGGTAATGTAAGTATGACCCATTTTATAAAGATTGGTTTAGTTAGCATGGGTTCTGGAATCAAATTTTCCTAAATCTCTCATTATCTTTTTTTGGATAATGAATACTTCACTTGCATGTGAGGAAGCACCCCATATCAGTATTTCATAGTTTAAGTGGCAATGAGCCATGCCAAAATATGCAGTTCTCAGCACATCGTTCGAAACTAAACTCCTCAGTCCTCTCAATGCGAAAGGACGGCGTTTTTCGACGATTGAGAGGATAACAATCGAATCATTCTGAGAGCTCTCGGACATACCAAAAAGTGCATATCAGAGCTACTAAGAGGATTGGAATAAACGCTGACACAAGTGTACTATATCTCAGCGGAACTACTTTGAAGGGAGAAATTGATGAATACATGAAAATTCACTCCATGTTTCGAAAAGTTATAAGGAATACACCGCAACATAAGAGTAGGAAAGTTTTCATCAACATATTTCTCTATTCGAAAAGGTACTAGAGAAACACTCATAACTACTGCGAGTATATAAATATTCAAAACTCCAGTGTGAAATCGTTTGAAACTTTCTCAGGTACAGTTTCCTCAAAATTCAATATCCCACAAATTTCGGAACATACCTGCTGTTGAAGATTGCCATTTTCCGATGTAATATATGGATCAGAAGTGTTTGTGATCGTTATACTTCCGAGGCAGTATTTGCCTAGGATATTATCCGATAGCGATTTTGTTTCCACACATTGCTTGAAGTCCCCCATTTCCCCAAAGTTGTATGAAATCAGTCCCACAGGTACCTTGGAGGTTGCATCCCACACTAAAAAACCAAAATCTCATTCTACACTGTAATAAAGTAGTTGATGAAAATATATCACATGAAGCAGCATAACAAAATATAGATAGATGGATAAATTTATTCAGGTAATTACCTACAAAGTATCTACAAATATATGTGGATCTACGACTTTGTAGGTACTGTGGCAGATGCCCAACGGAAAAACAACAACTAACCAAGCTAATGCCGCGCAGAGAGTTGAAGTAAAACCATCAGGCACATGTGCAACGTCTTCGACTTTGAAGTCGGTTTCTGCTTTTCATAGTGGGAAATTATTTCCCACTATGAAAAGCAGAAATAAATTTCGTTTGGTCGATTCGACCGATTTGATTCGACTTTTTCTCAATTAGACCAGAATCACAAGGGAATTGATCTTAGCAAATTGACCATTTATAATTTCAAAGTCAATTGAAACAGTCAGTAATGATTTTCGTAATATTTAATTGTGCGATTTCCACTGTTTTGTTGTAATATCGACTAGTCACACGCCCCGGCTCCGCACCGGTGCAATGATGATACCAAATATAAATTCACCCATGGACGCTCCTTTTTCCCCTGCGGCTGGCGCCCCAGTTGGAATATTCAAAAGTGATTTCTTATTGAAAATCTACAACATAAAACGAACCTACTTATGAAATTTCAGCCACCGAAAATATAGCGGTACGGAGAAATAGTGATGAATAGTTAGTATATTTTCAAATATTCTAACTGGGAAGCCCCAGGGGGCATCTACAACATAAAACGAACCTACATACAAAATTTCAGCCTTCGCAAATATAGCGGTAACGAGAAATAGTGATGAAAAAGTAATTTTCATATGAAAACGCGCCCATTTTACCCCCACGAGGGACGCCCCAGTTGGATGCGCATCTAACACCTAATAAGTATCTATATACCAAATTTCAGCTTCCTAGGACTTTCGCATTCATAAGTAAAGATACTTTTTGTATATTTATTTCAGAAGTACCAAAAGACCTCAAAACTGTATCGAACATTTTCATTTTTCAACGTAAATTTTATTCAAAGAATGTAAACTTTCACGGCAGTTTGCCTGTTTTTTTCGCCTTTTTTGGCCGTGGTCTACAGGTTTTTATGCCTGACGATTCGTCTATCACTGCGGTAGACATTATAAAAGGCGATGAAGTAACAGTCGATGTGCTTGAGTTTCAGCATGATGAGAAACCAATAATTAGGTCGACAAAAACATTCAGACAAAGTCTAAGATCAGCTAAGGACCTCAGAGGACTTTTGGCAACAGCCGGGGTATACCGGATTTCTTGTAGCTGCAGGCCAGTCTACATGGGAACCACGAAAAGAAGTGTAGGTACCCGTCTCTCTGAGCACAAAAAAAATTGTCGACTTGGATGAATGACAAATCAGCTGTAGCCTAATATGCTCTCAACAAAGAAAATGCAGTGATAACGTATTCTAAAAACACTTTATTGTCTTAATGACAGGCCCGAGGAAGCCATTGTATGGCGAAACAGGGATAGTTTCACTAGAGAAGAAGAGGCAATGGACATTAAGAAACTCTGACTACCTGTCCTTAATTGTACACAGACAAGGTTAGGTAATCCCATTGAGAGAAACCAAGCCACGCTCACTGATAATAATATAAAACCAGCTAGCATCTCAGTTAATGCGTTCAGAACAGCGGGAGCACCAAATGGGATACTGCGACTGGTGACATCGCCCAGGATAATGTCTACCGCGGTAGTAGACGGAACGTCAGACATAAAAACCTGCAGACCACGGCCGATAAATAGAAAAATAGCTTTCACAGAATGTATTTTCTATTAGGGTTTGAACATCTAAATTTAGGAACTGATTGTAATAATATGATAGGAATAACATGTTAAAAGGTAAGACCTCATTAGTCCTTACCTCGCACAAGTTTCGACTTCTGAGAGTTGACGTTCGTAGGGCCGCGACAGCTGGTTAACGGAAAAACTGATTTTTTCCTAAGGTGTTTCCTAACTACGGTATGAAACATCAGAGGGTGATTCAACGCCCCTAACAAATCATCCTCTGAAGTTTCGTACTGTAGTTAGGAAATTCCTGCATAGTGTCCACTATATAGTTGCTCCAAAAACGGTAATATTATAAGGTTACATTTATCTTCTATATTGAAGAGCGTTTTCAAGTCCAGGCGGTAGCCAAATGGACGATTTGAAGGTGTTTGTTGTTTTGCTTCATGAAATATATAAATTCTAAAAAGTATTTGTTTTGCTTGGAGACATTCAATCTGATTGAAAATATGCTTTTTATATTTTTCCGCATATCTTTTATGAATCCTGAAAAGAAAACAATAGTTATTTTGTTACTCAATGAAGTGACAAGTATTCGCTAACTTGAGAAATACACGAAATAGACAAACGTATTTTAGGTACATACTTTCGAATTTTGACAAATGATTTTTTTTTGGTAAACAAAACCGAGATACGAATTGAAAATGAAAAATTTTTAGGAGAGATAGTTTTTCCGGCTTCTCACTTAACCATCATAAAGAGTTTTTATAGTAGTTATTTTTCAAATTGAAAGGGGTATATTTTTCGCATAGATTAATTTTTGGGAAAGAAAAGTTTTGGCTTTCTACTTCTCCATCTTTATACAAAAAATGTGGGAATCTTCCGAAAAAAAGAAGAAAGCAATTAATTCAAAAATGAATCATATACCAAGTTGTGTAGGGCATGCAAAGAAGTAACTTTCAGACACGAACTGGAAGAAAAAGAACTCAATGGAATCAGATATCATTCACAGGATTGCTACACAATAAAGTAAATGAAAGAGGTAAAATTTCACTCACATGAATCCCTGTCATTACAAGATGAAGCACTCAATTCATTCATAAAATTTCGACTTTGTGTCACGATGTCATCGATGAAAGTATGTAATGACAGTTACTCGCTCATTTGACTCAATTCCAGACATAGAAATTTTGCTTGAATTGAAAGGGGTATATTTTCAGGAGAGATTGATTTTCGGAAACAAAGTTTTGGCTTTCCAGTTTTTCATCTTCATTCACACAATACTGTGTGAAGCTCGAAAATGCTATCGCGGTTTTGTGAACCTTCAAGTGGAAATCTCACATTAAATTGTGTTTCTTGAATACGTATATTACTATGTTCATGTCAACAACTAAAATAGAACAACACTGAATATATCGATCGTCTATTGATCGTCTAGGACAAGTACTACCAGGGTGGTTCCAGAAATCCCCGGCTTGAAGACGCTGCGTTGCTTAGTATTTGTTTGGCAGCCATCAATCCTGAAAGTTTTCGGGAATTCGTGAAAATGGAGAAAATTGGTCAGTGTTATGTGGTACAATATTTTTATCTGAAAGGCATCAGCTCAACCAGTATGAAAGATGAATTGTATTCTACTCAGGGCGAGTCTGCTTCTTCGTTTACAACAGTAAAATAATGGGAAGTAGAGGGAAGAGAAACAGTGAAGAAAATCCACAAGGCGGCACTAAATGATCGTCTACTGAAAGCTGGTAAGCTGGTCTGGATTCCTGCTGACTCCCTTGCAATGGAGGGTGCTGCCTTGCAGCTTCATCGGACCAGAACCTGTCATTGGCATAGTTTTAGGCTCTGGCAAACAAATATTTAACACCTGGATGGCAAGAAAATGTATGCACTTCTGGCAGAATCTTCCAGGATTGGCTGACTCCAAGGCGTTTATTCACCCTTCGGGTTACGGTGGAGGATCAAATAGACCCACTTACTTTGGGCACTTTGGACCTAACCTAACATAACCTCTTATGCAAACTTATTGCGGCGTTTGAGTGAATAAACGGCATTCGGCTAAAAAAAGTGTTGATTTATCAAGACAATGCACCAGCTCACAAATTCATTATCGCAATGACCAAAATTAATGAATTGAAGTTTGAATTGCTTTCCCATGCACCCGATTCGCCAGATTTAACCTTTCTCTCACGATTTTCTGTTCTTAAACTTGAAAAAATGGCTCAGTGGTCAAAGATTTTCCAACGATGAATAACTAATGTCGGTTATTAATGGCTATTTTGAGAAACAGGACAGTTCTCATTATAAAAACGGTATCGAACTTATGCAACGTCGTGTACAGAGCTGCAAGGAGATTATGTTGAGAAATAAAGAAAAATTTTTCAAACATTTTTGTTTTTTTTTTGTTTGGCGGGGAGATTCTGGGACAATGCTCGTACTTATTCAGAAAATTGCTGAACAGTTTGAAAAAATATGGATTAACTGATAATTACTTCTCAGAGCCCAATTATTCTCCGCTGTGGAATTCTTCAAATTTTCTGCACTCAGCTCCAACGCTGATCTACATTTCTTGCTAACTTTGGCAATTTTGTTTTCGTTTTCGACGGTTTCCAACAAAAAATTTCCATTAATTTCACCGATTTTGAACAAACACACAAAAATTAAAATCGCTTTCATTGCGCTTAATGCACTGATAACTCACTGGCGCGAACCGACGAGTTACTTTGTTTTATATAATAATCAGTTGATGCCAAACACAGATACCTAACTAATTGACTGGTGATTAGAAATTTTGTTTTCAAGTGTCATGGGTGATTGACCCTCACAGAAAATGCATTTTCGGTGTGATAAGATTTTCTGTGAGTACTCTGCCGACACCCATTAGAAATACTGACATCATTTCGACATTGAAATATTCAGTAGAAAACAACGAGTTTCGGTTGGACTAAAAGTGGGTTAGCTGATAACGTTTTTCAGGTTTACTTCGAATCGGCTGCGACACTTCAGTGTGAAATTAATTCAAGGTTTCGGTGTTTTCTGACAGTTAATCAGTTTTTTTGCTGAACCATATTTGCAGTGATAAAAACTTTGTTTCGTTTTTTTTTTAACTCTGTTCAGAAATGTATTAGCTTCATATACAGTTGGAGAGATCATTGACATGGCATGTGTAGGAGATGCATGTTGTCAAATTGAAAATTGCTCTTACTTTCAGGAAATTTTCAAAAGGGATAATTTCACGGAATATTTTCAGTTCTCGTGGTTTAACTCTCTTAAAAAAAAAGAAGGGTTAATAAGTAGTTGGTATCCGCGACTTTGGCCGCGTAGAATTTGGTTTATCAGATTAAGATTCGTGGCAGACCATTTTAAACAAATGTTTATTTTTACTTTAGAAATACAGTAACTTTCGCACAGAGCGGTGTCTGTGCGAAAGTGGCGATTCACATTGAATTTGAATTGCTGGAAATTAAATCTGTTTGGAAAAACATTCTCAGGAAGTTTATTACAATACATGTAATACAATGCAATATCTTTATTCCTCAAAATGATCACTTCACAATGATATAGGAGTCGTCAATGGTAAAAAACATGAAATGTATATTATGTATATTTGTGCCAAGTCTCTTGAACACTTCCCGTGAAAGTATCTTCAGAAGAGATACAAATCTCCAACTCTTCTCCGATATTCTAGGCTATCAAGGTTGCACGTGATGTCTGCGTCTCCAATCAGGCTGATTGATCTTTTCTTAAATGGAATCACGCAACTTCAGGGTAGAGCTCCATACATGAGAACAATACTCCAAAGAAGGTCTGATCTGTGCTTGATAAAGCATCAAATGTCGCTGATGTGTGTACAGTGTTCTGGTTCGGAACAGTGTTTCAAGCTTTTGAGAAGCAGCTTTTGCAATTCAAGCAACATGATTGTGGCAAGACATATTGGTGACCATTTTAACCCCCAACAAATTTATCAAAGCAAAAACCGATTTCTGGGTTTTTGTAGCATTGAATTGAACCTGGTTACTTTCACCTAAATTTGAAATCATTTCTAGATCCTCATTAGTATATGCAACCTCCTACTGCAAGTGAAGATGTGCCTCCGTAGCCGATGTCCTGGAATCCCAATGGAATTCCGAGACAATTGTGCTGTCGTCAGCAAAGCAATATATTGGATTTTTAGTTTTTTTCAATAAGTCGTTGATATACAATAAAAAGACGGTTGGAGACAATATGGATTCCTGGGAAACACCAACTTTAATGGTGAAGGTATTCAAGAGATATCCATCGACGCCCACTTGCAGGGAACATTCTTTCAGGAAGTTGAGGAGCCATACACAGAAATGATCCGACAAGCCATATCATCGAAGTTTGGCCAGCAAATCCTCATGCCACACACACAAATATGGGCGACATACGATAGAAGGTCGCCTGTTAATCTTTGTTTCCGAAAGCCATATTGATGATCGCTCAAGATGTTGAAACCTTCCAAATATTTGAGGATATGGTGGTTTACGATTTTCTCGATGATTTTTGATATCACTGATAGCGAAGCGACTGGTCTATAGTTATTAGGAAGATTTTTCTTGTCCTTTTTGGGAATAGGCTGAACGCAAGCAATCTTCCAAAATGAAGGAAAACCTAGACGCTGTCGAAAATCAATTTCCTACATTGTGGATTCTAGTGTGGGAATAGTGTGTGGTGCCTTTTCCAGAAAATCGACTGTGTAGATTTGCTTTTTCTATGGCTGTTGTTGCAATTGAATCATCCGCTTGTATTAGAAGTAGAATTGTGGATTTTGTAAAGTTCTAATTAACAACTTTAGCTACCGACCAGAATAATCTAGACCCGTTGGGATTGGCAAGCAGTTTATCCCTATTTCTCTGATTGGGAAGTTCTTTGCTTTCATTTATCATAAGTTTGCAGCTGTTGCGGACACCAACAAACCTAGTTCGGTTTTTGCCACTGGGATTTTTGCGCCACTGCCGGTAGGCGAGATTTTTGGAGGCGATAGCTTGCTCCCAATTTTTGTGGAACCAAGGTTTGCCGTTAGAATGTCGTTTCATTGAAAAAGGAATATATGCACCCATGGATGATAGAATAACTTCCGTGACTTCAGAAGCACAAGTTGGAGAATCTTCCATTCAGCTGATCTGTAATGGCAAATTCGCGCAGCCTAGACTGTTCCCAACATTCATCGGTGATTTACTCAACACTGAAATGAGTTTGTGGTCAGAAGATCCCAATGGAAACCTTACGGAGACTGTGTAAATTCTGGATTGGTTATTAGGTATAGATCCATATTCCATATTCGGTTGAAGTTCACAGCTTCTTTTTTTCTGTTGAAATTATTATTTTTGTGGAACTCTATTGCCTCCCGTACCAGTCGGGTATGATATCCCTCGTTGAGGGGCAATGAGTTCCTTGTATTCAAACAGAATCCTGTGTTTTCCTTCACTGAGTGCGTGTTTCGCCACTGACGACCTGTCTGTTGAGCCTAGTCAGCAGTTCATTCATGCTCCTTCACCCTTGTTCCTATAGTTATTTTGGTGGTTCCGATGTATATCTTTTGACAAGTGCACGGTATGCGATAGACCTCTGCTGCTGATAATAGGTCTCTTTTGTCTTTAGCCGACCTGAGGCTTTGTTGTATCTTCTTAGTGGGTTTGAAAATAGTTTCAATGTTGTGTTTCCCCAAGAGTTTTCCAATTCTTTCTATGACCCTAGGGATATGGGGTAGATATGCGAGTCCAACCATCTGATCGTTCTCCCCGTTTTGAGTCGTGAAACTCTTCAGTTTCAAGTGACCTTGAGATCGAATAGATACAGTGTATCTATCAAACAACAACAAACGAAGAGAAGGTGTCTATGACCCCTAGGGTCACTTGTCTGTGACCTAGGGGTCACAGACAGAATTGGAGAACTTTTGGGGAAACACAATATTAAAACGGTTTTTTAACCCACCAAGAAGATACAACAAAGTCTCAGTCCGGTGAAGACAAAAGGACCCACTATCACCAGCAGGGGTGTATCACACACCGTGCACTTGTGGAACGGTATACATTGGAACCATCAAAAGATCCATAAAAGGCTGGAGGGACATGAAAAAAACTGCAGACTAGGCCAAACTGGCAAGCCAGCTGTGGTAAAAAAAGCACTTATTGAAGGAAACCGTAGGATTCTGTCTGAATACCATAGCCGACTGGTACGGGAGGCAATAGAAATCCACAAACACATAGATAATTTTAACAGAGAAGAAGAAGCTGTGAATCTCAATCGAACATGGAATCCCATTCTAGAAGGTTTGAAAATAGCAAACAGCATGACCGCAGGTAGAAAAGTGTCAACGTTATTGACAATTTAATAAATCCAGGTACAGCTATTTAGCACACCAAACTACCTGGGAAGTTATTATAAATACTCGTTACAGAGCCACAATATCCAGTCATCGGAGATATCAACTCAGGATGTATAAACCTCTGAGGAAGCTAGCCACAAGCGTCAGCGAAACGTCAGGAAAAAATTCCAAAAATCAACGGCCTTAAAACCCCGAAAATAGTGGCACTGAATATTTGAAGAGTTGGGAAAAAAGTCTTTCGGCTTTCTATTTCTCTATCTTTATACAAAAATTTTTGGAATTGAATGCCAATAGTTGACATATTTGCAAATTACCCCTTTTCAGTAAAAAGTAAAAAATATTTTTTACTTTTTACTTCGTCATATTCATACAAACATTGTGGAAAACTTCACACAATCAACTTCAGAATAAAAACTTTTTTCATAGATGTGTTTATTATGGATAGAAGAACAGTTTAGCAGTTCAATGTCATTTCTTTTCGAGTTTGAAAGCCGTGGAATTTTGGAACTTCTTCCTGACGTTTCGCTGGCGCGAGTGGCTAGCTTCTTCAGAGGCTTAACCATCATGGCTTGCTATCCGATGACTACCTTTTAGGCTTCGTAAAGCGTATTTATGCGATACAACTGATTACCTGACAAGGTAGTAATGAAGACGTTTATTATTGTATGAATATAGTAGGGAAGGTGAGTGTATTCACACAGCATTTAGGCATATGACCCATTGTACATCCTCTCGAGGAGTTGTCCTCCTAGGTCATTGACCATCCTGTCCTTTCCAGGAAGGTGGACAGGTCTCTGGGAGACATCTCCTTTATATCGGCGAACACACGTTCTCTTTGGCAACCTTGAGGTGTCTCACGGCGGCCTCCGCGAATGTTTTGGAAGGTGCAGCGACATTACTGTCATTGCGCGGCTTCTTCAACCTTCCTGAGGTTCACCTAGTGGAGGTGTTCAAGTGATGGTGCTTTCCTGCAGGGGCAGCCGGTTCCATGCCTTCAATCAAGGCGGAGATCTTGGCGCACGGCGCAAGTTATAGTTCGATAACCCCTTACATCAGCAGGATATTGTTCGATGACCCGAAGACGACATCAATTATTTTGCTGATATCTGCAAAGTCGGCAATAATTTATATATAAATAGGTGCAATTGATTTGTAATAGCCAATACTTATATTTCATAGTTATTAGTTGTTACTCTGTTCAAATAAAAAGTTTTTAAAAACCCTTTTGTGTGAACGAGAAATATAATTGGCGCAGTCGTTAGGATAGTGGAAGAGTCCTTAGAAGATCCTCGTCGTTCTCAAACGTTTATCCACTATTCTCCCGAACCAAGTTCCACCAAGAAGCAAGTACTCCAGGAAGAATTCTGGCCGTAGACAAGAATACCTCTTCACTATCGTCCGTCAAGGAATATCTACATAGAAATAAGTTTTTGGTGACAGAATATGCAACGAGCCATCATCGTCATCCTGTAAGCACAAATGAACTCAACTTCATCAATTGCAAATACTATTTTACGTCCCCCTACCTTAGTTTTACCAAATTCACCTTCAAGTATCAATTCTCGCCCATCCATTATTCCTCAAACAATTGACCAAACTTTAAATCCCATCAACATGGCAAAACAATTCGACCTGAAGAATTTTTGGATTGTACCCGAAT